GTAGTATATTACCTTGACTGTATAGTGCGTTATCTTGACTAACTTTGTAGTATATTACCTTGACTGTATAGTGCGTTATCTTGACTAACTTTGTAGTATATTACCTTGACTGTATAGTGCGTTATCTTGACTAACTTTTTAGTATATTACCTTGACTGTATGGTGCGTTATCTTGACTCACTTAGTAGTATATTACCTTGACTGTATAGTGCGTTATCTTCACTAACTATGTAGTATATTACCTTGACTGTATAGTGCGTTATCTTGACTAACTTTGTAGTATATTACCTTGACTGTATAGTGCGTTATCTTGACTAACTTTGTAGTATATTACCTTGACTGTATAGTGCGTTATCTTGACTAACTTTGTAGTATATTACCTTGACTAACTGTGTAGTATGTAACCTTGACTAACTTTGTAGTAAGCGACCTTCACTACCTAGCTATGATAATTTGATTTGTCGTTAAAATGTAGTAACATTGACTAAATATATAGTACGTTACCCTGACTGACTTTTATAATTACCGTTCAGTATATTATCGATCCGTGGGTAGCAATACTTTGTTTCATAATAGTTGAGTGCAAAAGTGATGTCATCGACTGGATATGTAGGTCAAATACGAGACACGTGAGGAAGGAAAACATGTTTACTGTGCAATAAAGGACATAAAAACATGCGACTGTTTATGAGTGTTGTTAAATAGATTGTTTTTCTCGTAAATTCTTTTAAAACGTAAACACAGGTATATACGTATATTCCATTCTTGCGTGACAATAGCAACGAATCTAAAAATATTACCTTAGCTAGTTATCTATACCGTGTTTACTGTTCAGGAGAACAATAATATATACATTTGGAACATTGGTTTAATGGGAAAGTTAAAGAATACCTAGAATACGAGTTTCCTTGTATTCTCGTTCATACGCCAGTACAACTATTCCAAGCCTACAAGTTAATATGCCTAGGTTGTTTTCAGTTGATCCTACAATCCGATTCTAACTGATTATCTAGATAAATGTTTACAGTTCCTGGTGTCGATTGTATTCTTGTTGGTTTTATTATTAGTTGTTGTTAGCAAATTTAATCTTCAATTTTAATTTACAAAACAATATTTACATTTTTTTTCAATTGTTTTTCCTGTTTCACAAAAGCAGTTTGATTTCCAAAACATGACATTCTCCTTCAAAAATGTACAGCTATACTAAATTGTCAGTAAAAAGATTTTTTGCCCGTGGGAAAATATTGGTGTTCTGATACATCAGTGAAATACATGTACATGCTAATCGTATTGGATAGCATTTATTTACTCAATTAAGAATATCAAATTCATTACAGCATTGGATACTTAAGAAGTAAGTATTGGGTTTGTAAACTACAATAAACACACCTGAATTCTAGCATCACCACAGCATCAAAAAGACAAAACTGGAACCCAGAAGCCAAACTATACACATAACAAAGTCTGTGGTGTTAGTAATTTTAAGTTCCGCAGTATAAACGAGACACATGTCCATATATGTTTAAGTATTTAATCATACGGAAGTTACTGATAAACTATAGTATTTTTTATGTGCTCCTTATATGGTAGCCTAACAATACACTAGTCTGGACTTCCCGGTAGATTGGAATTTATGTCACCCAGTCACATCCTGCCGTCGTGTATTCAATCGTTGATCATCAATTGAAATCAATGTAACAGGGTAATTATTGTTTGTATAAACCCCGAAGTTATATGTTCCTCGTTTATTTTGTAACATACTGCATGACTGGAGGATATGTGACCTCGACAGTAAAGAGATGTATAGCACTCATAATACGTACTTGCAACTAGGAAGTAGTGACAATTGTTCAAATCTAACATTGCCCCATTCAAATCTAGGCAATTTCTTAAGATTGAAAGGACGAAATAACACAACTGAAAAAATACTCCATTGTCCAGTTCATTTTATCTTTTTCTACCCAACTCTCTTGTTTCACTTCCTAGTGAAATCTATACAGCAATCAAGCAGTGGCATTTCTTTTCATAAAGAAACCTTTAAACTCGTGGTTTTTTTCTCACATTATTGTTGTAAAGGATTTAATACTATTTACAGCAAAAAAGACTGGTTAGGGAGACAATGCAGAAAATAAACAGTATACAGGTAAAGACGGAGAACCCAAGTGTTGTAATTATATAACTGAGTAATGATCTACATTGTAGATCTGGACAAGCACACTTCATAGTCACTAATTCACTCTACAAATAAAAACAAACAGTTTAAGTTGTAAGTTTTATTTTTTATTTCAAATAATTGATAAATTGTACACTTGCTAAAATATTACACCATGGGATATGTCGTTTCTGAATTGAATAAAAAGATGTTTATACAATGTATGTAAAATTATTTGGATTCTAATAAAAGTAAGCATGTTGTTTATCCTTTACCACATTTCAACATGTACTTAACACAGTTGAATTTGGGGCATTTTGATTATAATGATACACATCGTAAACATAACAGATCAAAGAGCTTCAATGAAATTTGACAATATTAATACTTTATTTACTTTGAGTATTGATATTCAACAAAGAAAATTCAAGCTGTCCAACAAATCAACTCAATATTTCAATATGTAGTCAGCACAGCACGTATTTACGATCTTCACATTTCAATTCAAATGTACAATAAATGAATCATTCTTCCTTTATACTTCAGTTTTTCCGTAATAAACAAAACTTTACTAAGTAAAGTAGCACTAAAAACTGGCAATAGTAAACACTTAGGTATTACAAATTTCGATTCATTTTATATAATGATATCTTTGTTAGTTTATGATGACATGTGATTTTTGGGAGAAAAAATATTTTGAAAAAGGGCAAAAATATTGACCTCCTTTTGTCATTTCTAATTGATCTCAAAGAGAAAATCAAATAATTACAGAAATTATCAATTATTACAGATTAATCAAATGTGAAGTGAAATTTAATTCTGAAAACCACTTTCAGGAAAAAATAAAATGTACTTCAAAAACAGTTCATCAGAATTTATATCAATGCCGGGGTGTCCAATATCCAAAAGTGCCAGCCAACAAGGCAGATTTTACGAAATTCTACGATTCTATTTCAATATAGTTGCAAAGCAAATATTGAAATTGTTCTCTAGTATCGAAATAAAAAAAACTTCTAGACTTCAGCATCTGGTAAGTATAGTGTACACCCCTGCAGTAGATCCATCAAGTCATGACATTGGTGTTAATTTACAGATAATTCAACCTAGTACAATTAATTTCTGTAAATGGCATGCTTTCTACAATTTTTCTGAATTAGTACCGAAGCCCTCATCAACAGAATTCCAATGTTCACATAATAACTGGCCCCTGGTAAGAGTAGCCAACAGACCTTGACATCACTATTGCACATGTCCACAGATCGTATTTTGCTATAAAATTGTAATTAAAAACATTGATAATGCCACTACCCCATGTTTCAGAATACAACAAGCAATCGTGATTCTTGCATGAAAATCAGGAGCTATTACCTGATCAGTTACTGTAACATACAGATTCCAATGTGTTCCCCAACCTTACCCTGTATTATAACTGTATTTGGCAAAGTATTCAAACATTTTTACAATTCAAAAGTCTAGTAATTGTAATTAATCAGATCTTGTATTTAGATTTTCTTTAAATATTGGACCAAAACACCTGTTATATCAGATCTTTTTGTATTAATTCAGTAATGATCTCGAGTTCGGATACTTTGGTTACTAACAAGGTGAGATGGGCAATATTTACTAAAGCTTCTGTATTTGCAATCTTCAAAAGGTCAATCAATATACAGCATCATCAGCACGTTTTATGGCTTTTAGCCCTCGTTATGCTGAAGACTCGACCCATTTGCCAGTCAATATTATTTGCAATGAATACGCCGAGTCATCACCCCCACCCCCAAACATGAATAATTGTTTGAAGATGACTAGAAAAAAGTTCCACAAATGATTCTTTCAAATCTGAATAAATCCAGTCACTTCTATGATGTTCACATAAAATTACACACTCTGATTAAGGAGGCCGAAAGTTCAAAGGCGAATCAACCTAACATCATTGTATCAATATCATTCGTTAGAAATTATAGAGGCAAAATAGTTAATGCAAATATCTTTTAGAAAAGATATATACATATAAGTGAGAATGATTGCTGAAGCATCTTAAATAATATACTAAAAAATGTTTTGAGCAAAACAGAAACAATTAATTACCGCATGGATAGCAAAGCTCAAATCAGATAACTACTATCTAATCGCTATGTAGCAACGTTATTTCAGAATGAAACTATTTAAATTTCATTCTGAAATGTTACTTTTGTTTAGAGTAAACTTGTTAATATAACTTGTCATTATTTTTATTGCAAATCTGCTAGAAACAAATAGTAAAGAGAAAATGATTAAAACTTACTCCCTTTATGTAAAAAGAAAGTAAAGGCTTAGGTTTTGGTGATTCTGGCGCCCACTTTTAATAATATATTTATTTTCGATGTTATTATGTTACTCCGTAAGTACATACATGTACACAAATGTGACTAAAAAATAAGTTAAGAATGATAATGACACCCTCCATTATTTGAGTGGAGATATGTTAAGCTAACTAGTCTTTGGTCAAACAGCCTCCTATTGAAGTTCACACGTCCCACAAACACTACACTGCCACACCACCAGTCATTCCCCAGATCATTCTTCTGCTTGCATTAACATTTCCTTTCATTCTCCGTCACCTTGTGGCCACCATGGTGGCTAAAGCTCCGAGGCCCATGGCAGTATAGACCAATCCCTTCCAAAGTTTGTCTTCCATTGCACCCTGTTCAGGGAAATAATCCGCAAAGGCATCCTAAAAAGAACAAAATTAACAATCCTTGAAATTTAAAATTCATTTGAATCAAAAAGCCCTATACTTTTTTAAGTTCTGTATTACATCTTGTTTGAAAAGCTTCTTATGGATACTTCAAATCAAATTAGCTATTGGAAGATTTTCCTTTCTTTCCTGTATATCTTCAGTGACTTTTCTACCTTTTTCCACAAGGGCCTGCACCTTATGACTATAGACACATTTCACACAAAAACATGATGTGGGGGCCGGGAATATTTATTTTTTAATGATATTGGGAGAAAACTCAGCAAAAAACATTATGGGAAAATAACATTATAACGGACCCTAATCCACCACAAAAAAATTGTTGCTCTCGTTTCCCTTTTATTGAATTTAATTCACAGAATCTTGTTTTCGGATAAACTCTTGTCAAGAATCGTTGCTATGCTGATGACTCAGTGTATGTATTACATGTAGGGAGTGCTTGACTGTAAAGTAGGTGTATTATATACACACAATGTCTAGGTGTATACCAACCAACCTATCAAGCAGTTTCATGTCAGACAGTATTGGACACATGCCAAAAGTTTAAATAGTAGACATTCTGTGTAAAACCACAACAATTTAACATGAATGGTTGTTCCAAGTCTCTATAGCCAAGTTTCAGCAATAGGATCAATACTGAAACTGGCACGCATCCAATTTATTTGATGTTTAAAAATAGCATTGATACTTATTGGCGAGACAACACATTTTTAAAGTATTTACCACAAATATTTGGATAAAATCCAAACCTTTTATTTGAAATATTATCTCCTGGAGTTTCATTGTTTTACATTTTTTTAAATCAATCAGCTGAAATATATATCTAGTTTACTGGACATATGGACAAGATCAAAATGCACAATTTATAACATATTGCTGTTGAGAACAGCTATATTACAAAACACCCAATTCATACAAATCGTGTATAAATATCAATTGAGTTTTTGTATAAAATATGTTTGTCCTCAAATTTTCACAAACATTATTGGAGAAAATCAATTTAAGAATGATCGGCATAACCCTTTCAAATATTACTGTTCCATTTACTTTAATGATATTTTTAAAGGTGTATTTACAACAAAAATGTGGCATTCAAAATAATAGATTCCACTTTTGTAAACAAAACACATTCATATCTTACAACTGTTATGTGTTCCAGTGTAATTATATTTTTATAGTTTGTTCATATTTTTAACCACTCAGTGTACTGCAACGTTACATTCAAATTTAAAAAAAAAATCTTTAAATAATTTATTCTTACCCATCCTCCATTATCAAGAATCCATCTCCCTAGTTTGCTAGCAACATATTTCCCTGCATACAAAGCTATTCTTTCATCACAATCTGGAGTGTTTACGCGACAATGCAATGCTAACCGAGATGCGAATGTGTAAACAGCAACAATTCTACCCCAGTTAATTTGTCCATCCTCAAAAATTTCATCTACCACAGACACAAATGTTGGAAAAGCATTTGAATCGTCAACGTTTAGCTTGTTGACCATTCCCTTGAATGCAATCTCATGTCGGTCTGATAATTCCTGAACATTTCTACGCATTGTTTTGCAATATCTGTCCATAGGTTTCTTACACTCTTCAAGTCCAAAACTGCTGATAACATCAGTTGCAATAACCTCAGATTCTAGTCTGATCTTTTCCAAGGGAGAAGCACTACCGGGCGTCTGTGTTTGTTGATCTAACTTACTCATATCCTGTCCAAGTCCCTTAAAACCTGGCATAAGCCCCAGCTGTTTATGAATTTCAGCGAACAAATTTCCTTTAACAGGGTAGTTCGACCCCATTTGAATTCCTTCCGTAGCCATCCTTAGTGAAAACTCGTCCGAATCGTCAGGAATAATAATCGAAGAAGAGAAACGATCACCGCTTTATGAGCGGTTGAAAAGAGACACCCTCAAATACGTCGGTAGTCTGTGCGATCAAGATGGCTACCAAGAGGCTTCGTTCCGATAGCACGGCTCATGTGATCGAGCGTCAGTTTGATTTGGGCCATTCACAACGCGTGCAGAGCCTTACATATTTGGGCATAGGGATTACCGCGTTTCTATTTTAATCACAACGAACAAACACTAGATTTGATTGGTTGAACTGAGGAATACCCTCACGAGACAGGAAATCCCAAAAGTGAAAAGAGCCATTAGCGAGAGAACATACCAGCGACTGGAAGTACGGAAGTAATGTAAAGGGAAATCCGACTGTTTCAAAGTGAATTCCCAAAAGGAAGTGGTGAGTACTGTTTGCTTATGTTTCAGAACAGATGAAATAGGAAATAATCAAAAAAGTACAGGAAGGTGAACATTTGTAAAGTTGTAATATTAGGCCGAGACCAGCTGGTGTTCTATTTTTATACACCCGATAATAACGAAACCATTATAACAACATGGCGATACCTACTGTCTCATGAGTTGCTACTACACAAACTTACATTGTTGTTCTCCCCCCTTCCTACNATAACTTAAATCTCTGTGTTACAAAAGTTTGCATCAGTGTAAAATGATCTTATATATATATATATTAAAAGAAAATGACTTTTATTTTCAGGAGTTCACAATGGGTCTTCCATTGGCAGATGAAGACCAGGAGAGACAGGGCCATAGTGAGGAAAATGGTCAAGCACGTCCATTGTCGGGGGTGGAGTTCAATCAAATTATTTCTGACCGGCTACAGAGCACCCATGTTGATAACCGCCGAAACTCTCTACCTCCTGGTATCCTGGAACACATAAACGTCAAAAGTGTTTGCGGGCAAATTCTCCGCTTTATGGGTGATGAACACTTTTCTAAGACTTGTGGGCGACACCTGCGGTGTATGGGGGATGAGATTTCTCATCTGTACTGGTTAAAGAAGACTGTGATGGGGCCGCAACAAAATCTGCCAAACCGGGAATACACACTTTCACATAACTCACATTCTCTACCTGATTTACGAAGCGCAGAATCGGACCAACAAAGAGATGCAGTGAATAATAATTGAACTGAAACATGTATTACATATTGTGATTCTGTAGCTATAAAGCTTCAAAGAATATTTATTGTATCAATTAATTATCAAGCCAAAATTTACGGATTAATTTACTTAAAACCTATAGAGAAATGTAGCGATATATGATCCCTAAAAATTGAGGAAAGTTAGAAAGTAAATTCACAGGTGTTAAAGTAATTAGTTTTAATAGTTTTCATTTGAAGTTCTTAGAACTTGTTATACATTAATTATACATACTCTGATCTATAATGCTTGAATTTGGATGGGAAATAGTATGTATAGCAATATTTATATTTCCATGGTTGTCAAAAATATAAATTACTATAACTTCACATACATAAGCAAAACATGTATTACTTCAGGAGAGACCAGGGACATGTATATTAAGTACAAATCCCTTGGTTAGATATATCGGGTCAAATGTTATATTATCAAGTGTAAAACCATTCCACCTTAGTGATTTTTTGATAATTTTCCTTGTAAATGGCAATTAATTACTATGTTTGTTATTAGGTTGTCTTGTTACTGTTTTTTCTATCATTTGTTATGTTACCTTACTTCATAAGAAGTCTAAAGATTACAGCATATTTTATTTATATATTTGTATTTCCTTTTGCTTTAGTTTATGATTTGAACATATGTTGTATTGTAAATTACCTTTATTTAGGTTGTTACAAAATTTAATTATCATAGATGTGCGATATTTAGACAAACTATTTTTAATCTCACAATCTTGCATTATGATATATTTAACTTGTGATCAATAATTTACCTGCAAATTACCTTATTACCTTTAAAACCTGTTTGTTTGGTGGAACACTCAGTGTTTGTATGCATTGATTATTCTGCTTTATGAGATGATAATTCTGTTTCTCGATTCTTTTAAATACTCAATTGTCTGCTCCTGATGATTGGGCGAAATGTATGTTCTGCATTAAATTAGAGAAAATGCATGTGATAATCTGAAGGAGTTTTGAGATTTATACAAACACTAATTGTGATACATGTATGTCTGATTGTTATGCATGTGTTGATGAAAGAAAGTCTCCAACATTGACGTCACTTATAGATAAAGAAATGGGAGAGAGGATACTAAGAAAGAAATGGTGATCAATCTAATTACGATCACTTGAATTTGCTGGTTCCAGAATATATATACCAGTTTTAAATTTTAATATTCTGTAAAGAGAGAATTGTAATTATATTATGTAGGTCGAGACAAAACGTTCTTCTCATGATAGAAGAGTTTAACTTGTTATAAATTCAAGATGAATTGTTGTACTCATTGTATTAATTCACAATGTATGTTATAGAATGATATCAATAGTGCCATTTATGTGGGTTGTAACAAGGATTTAGGTGGTGTTATTACCTGTGTGAAATACATGCACAACTTAGTTTTATATTATAACCTATAGGTAAGCACAATAGAATATTGGTCCATTGTGGGTTTGTAGTTACGGATGCTGGACTTGTTACATCATCAATAAAAACAAAACAATATACATGTATGATCTATCTTGTTTTTTATGTTTTTAAATCTTCCTGATTTGCAACTCTTCACATGTTGGCGTATTATATTCCTGTATATCCTAGCTATAATAACATCCAAGGTATCATATTTGCCATAATAAGCACTGTTCTCCTAATTACCTCTCTCCAGCACTTGTTAAATGATATAAGCACCCCTGATCCCAAACAACTACCCCCCCTCCCCATTCTGGCCCTCCTCAGTTAACAAAATATATTACTAAATTCACTTTTTTTCAACCTGTGTTTGTTATATCAATAAATGCCCCCTTCAGCCATTTCTTCCTGTACATGTGCCATTGTTACTTATTATGGCGAATATGGTATTCCTTCCTCACTTATTAGTGTTGACAGGGGGACTGGGTATGATGCTGTATTCTGCCATTGTTCTGTACACTTAACAAAGGAAGGTGTGAGTACAGCAGTTTTATTCTTGGCCTTTTGACAGGGAAATCTCAGGTTTACAAAATACAGGTTACAGTAGTGATGTGATACAAAGTCTGTGCTGAAGCAAAAACGTGAAAGCTGTTTATTCTAACAAGCTATAGGCACAATTTAGTGTATCATTGGAGAAGTTGTTTGAATTGCTTGCTTGAAAAGAGGGTGCAGGTCATTTATCAGAAGAAACAACATGTACCTTCTGACCAAATATGACTAGGATTTCTGAAACTGTGGCAGAGGACTTTGAATGCTTTTTACTATGATAGTGCATCTAGGTAATGTACCACTCCTTTACAGATACATGCAACTACTGTTCTTGCCAAATGCTATGGACGTAGGGTCTGGAAGTTGGCAACAGCTGTTAGTGACATGTACAATAACCTCTGTTGGTATATGACCCCGGCCGACTTTGCTCAGTAAGTAGCTATTGGACAAATACATGTATGACCCTACATCATATTTTTGGTCATAGGACAATGTACCATAAACTCACAGGCGTTTGCTGCAAACACAGGGACCTGATAATTTGTTACAGATATATTTGGACCTAAACTAAAATATTCAGAATAATTTTAGGGGTTTTAGGGGTTTGATCATGCCACCCCTAATGATGATATATACATATATATATCATCATTAGGGGTGGCTATTTTACGGAAAGCAGGTCTAAACCCCTAAAATGTATAGGTGCAAATATAGTGTTACAAATGACCAAGTCCCTATTGCTTCAAGGTAAGCTGAAAACTACCTGCTACAATCAAATTAGTTAAGATAAATTATACAGACCTCACATACACGATCACAGGGATAAAATGTGATAAAATTTTAAACGATGTCTTCTAACGACGTTTGGAGTAATGATACAAGTATTTTGTTTGGTCCTTGTCAGGATCACAGGGACCTGAGGATTTGTTTCAGCTATATTTGGAGCTAAACTAAGGAGTTCAGAGAATTTTTACATGTTTTAGTGGTGTAGATGGACTTTCAGTAAAAATGCCACCCCAATGCTTGTAAATTTACATAGTTTACGTCCAAATATAGTTGTAACAAATAGTCGGTCCCTTTGGTTAGGATGAGCTGAGACAACGTTTCCAACTTCGTCCGAATAGATAGCATTGGGTAGTCCTAGGTCACAGGGTCAAATACAGCTCAAGGGTCCCAAAGAATTATATAGCAGCGATATTCTGTCTGTAGCCTGCCAGGCTAACAAGTTTGTTCAAAGAAATAGCATTGAGGTACATAACCAAACTATACTGAATCGCCTAACAAATGTTAAGATTTATGCTATTTGGATTTTAGTGAAATAAATGACATTGAATCACTCCGACCTCTCTGAAATGGACACCAATTTGCACAAAAAAATGAGAGTGGGGAGAATCGTTTCCTGATCTGAAATTTAAACTGGTTTTCACGCCCACTGGGTCTTTCCCCGAGAAAGTTTCTTTTTACACTAGTACATGTAACTGACAAAATGTTTCCTTACAATTCCGTTTAAATTTCCCCTTTCATAATATGAAAACTCTACACGTTAAAGAACTGCTTTCAGTTCACACCACAGATTGTATAAGATTCCTATAAGATGTCTAATTCCGTGGTTCACAATTTGAATATTATGTCAGCCAATTTGGCTGAATATAACATGGACATGTAATGACATGCTTCAATGAAATTGTGTAGTATCAGGTGTGGTTGCCACATGACTTTAAATAGTATGTTGTTATGTAAATCAAGTTGATGTTTTTACAAATGTATAAACATAGTCGATAGATCCGATTCGACATTGTACATTCTGTATAAGGTGTACATAACATGCGGTCTTTAATCATCAGATTTCTTGGAGTTTGTTTAGCATGTAACGACAAGATGACACTTTTTTAATTTGTTACAAACGTGCTTAAAAGTTGGTATGAGTATTACTTGATTGGAAACATATAGATCTTACATGAAATCTAATAATTTATGAGGCTTTGTGAAAGATTTAGCGAATAAATAAATTAAAAGTAGAATTACAATATATTGATTTGGAAATTAAATCTCTATAATTAATTAATAATTTGACAGTCTCTCTAGTACCTAAACTAGTTCTAGTTCTTTATTTCTAAACTGGAAGTAGGCTGTACACTTGCACGTGAAGTTCGATTACTGCTGATACCCACTCCAAGACCGAAAGTTTCAGCCTCCAAAATGGTTATTTACAAAATATTCATGGGTGATATACCAACTTTTCTTGTGTGGGTATTGGTTAACACGAACAATGTTGTCATTAAAAAAAGAAATCGGGTTTTACGTATTTAGGAATCCGGCCTCAGTTTGTTTTTTAATTATCTTATGTACAAATTGTATAACACAGAAGCTGTCATCTTGGGTCTGCTATTAATACAGAATAGAAACGAACATCTGCCTCCTTCTATCACCCAAATGACCAACACTATTACGTCACGATAGTAACACGGACAAGACCAATGGTCAATAAATGACGTCATTAACATAGTGACGAGGTGCTTGCGGCCAGGGTGTGTACATGTCCACCCGTTGGTGTTGACAGCTGGCTGACCATGGTCATCAGCTGGCCAGTAGCTTATATATATGTATAGATTGTCATGCTATGTTTCCGGGTGTTACATATAAGTGATTTGACCGAACATACTTGTAGACAACACAGGGAATTACTGCCTACGTTGTTACATAACAAAAGAACACTAAACTGGTCTACAAAATTAACGTAACAGACCAAGTTGAGTTTGAAACATAGATAATTATAATAATGAACAAAGTTTGGCATTTCACCCATTAATGCTCGCCGCCGTAGCGTGTCCTCTTTTCCTCTCATATCATAATATTGAGTTTATTAATTCAAATAAATAGAAATTAGTTATATTTAGAAACGCCAGTTTTCCAATTTTAATCATGCTCAAGTTAATGAAACTGACATGACCACAGACTTGGAAAGCATAATCTAATGTATGTCGTGGCATGACATACATGTATATTGGAGTGTATTTGTAAAAACATCAAACCTAAAAAAAAAATGTATTTGATTGTGAATATTTTCATGAACAATTTGAAATGTATTTCTTAGGGATTGATATTTCAGCCTATGAAATTATAGACATGTATTTAGAGTATACTAATTATATACGGTTGGGTTATACAATCATCGTATATAGTTTGGGTTTCGCAGGGGTATTGGTAGTTTTATAAAATGGGAGGGGCGGTGTTGGGAGGGGTTGAGGAGAGTGAATGGGGCTAAAACGATCCCGCTCGCTCTGGAGAATCTGACCCCTATGCATAGAACATGTATTTGTCTTAATACTAATACATTTATGAATATATATATATGCATCACATGAAAATAAACTCGAAAGATGTTTTGTTTATTCCGTATATAATGTTTCCCCCGATTTTCTTTGTTTAGAAAACTATAAGCTTAGCTTGTATACTGGTGTTATTGACTTTTCCCCTATTCGTGTAAATAGTTAACAGTGTACAATGTACAACGGTGGTGGGTCATTCTCCTATAAAATGATAAGTAAATACATATAAATGTCCGGAGGTGTTTAGTAGATCACCTCGGAGCTATCAGGGGAAGGCTGGTGGTATTTGACCTTATAAGTGTGCCCCGAGTACAACGACCTAGAGACTAATCTGATAAAAAAAAGTGTCGCTCGAAATTCCTCGGAGACTTATAAATATAGGACTTCACATTCTGAGTTCTCAGCTGGATTAGTGTCTGAACCTATGGAGAAATTCTAAAACAACGAACTTGTCTAATCTGACACTCGAGTTCACTGGAACCTGTCCAAACGATTTGGGAGAGAAGAGTTTATATAAGCTGGAAACATGTATTCTATGTAGTCACTCCTATGGTTATGTATTTTTCAAGTATGAAGTAGATCAACCGATTTCGAAATAAAATACCGGTTAAAAAGAATAATAAAATATCTATCCGTTACTATACACAGACCCCCGTTAGATTCGGTGGAACAACATTATCTGGACTGACCGATTTTGCTGCTCCCGGGCTATAGCCCTGGTTGATGGGATGATATTTACCGCACACTTATGAAAGCTGGTGCTTATTTACCGCACCCTGACGAAAGCTGGTGCTTATTTACCGCACACTGACGAAAACTGGTGCTTATTTACCGCACACTGACGAAAAGCTGGTGCTTATTTACGCAACACTGACGAAAGCTGGTGCTTATTTACCGCAAACTGATGAAAGCTGGTGCTTATTTACCGCACACTGACGAAAGTTGCATGCTCATTAACCGCACACTGACGAAAGCTGTATGCTTATTTACCGCACACTGACGAAAGCTGTATGCTGACAATTTTTTTACGATAATTGACCGGACCCTTATGAAAGTTGTACCATTATTTATCGGAGTCGGACGAAAATTGTGACATAATCTATTGGACACTGACGATTATTTTTTTTATAATTTATCGGACCCTGATCACTTGAATCAATTGCCCGCAGAACTATCCCCCAACAATTAAACACTTATATGCTTAACTTGTAACATTTTATTTTGTA